TGTAGCGATGATTCGGTAAAGAACGACTTCTACCGCCAACTGACCCAGCTCCTTCGCCACAGAAGAAGTACGGACACTGTTGTGCTGGCGGGGCATCTGAACGCACAAGTTGGAAAGTTGTCCACTGATGAAATGCATCTGGGCGGCTAACATATTGTAGGCTCCCGTAATGATAACGATGAGTGGTTACTTCATTTGTGTGAAGATTCCCGCTTATTTCTTGCGAGCACTAACTTCCGACACAGCACCCGCCGGAGGGTGACTTGGCGCCCACCCAACCTTGGACACAGATCGATCACATTGCAATCAGTTACCGCTGGAGAGGCTGCATCCAGAACAGTCGCTGGACTCGTAGCACAGGTGTGGCCACCGATCATGCACTTGTATGTGCTGACATGCGGATGTGTTTTGGCGGACACCCACGACGACGCAGTGAGCGCATTGACACCAGCCAACTGACAAAGCTAGCTGTTCTGAATGCGTATCGAAGTACGCTGACATGCGAGCTAAGTAAGCGCTCACTGGGGACAATTGATGGTCACTGGTCATCTGTTCACCAGACCTTACTAGCAGCAGGCAAATCCTCATGTGGTATGTCCAATAGCCAACATGGTTGTTGGGTCTCTTCTCCATTAAGTTGGTTGAGCTCCAGTCGCGGTTCTTCCATAGGCGCTTCGATGAACAGCAAGTTCTCACTATGTGATAACATGGCATAATCACTTTTAATTTTTAAGCGCGGTAGCCGTTTATGCCATGCAATCTATTGCCCTGTGCTCTCAATGGTTATGAAAGCGGTCCTCGCTTAGGCTTTAGTGGACTACGTGGAAAAATGCAACGCCTTAGCATCGAAGCAGCATAACCTCCGTCAATATCGGTCATGCACCACTGGTCTGCTGATGGCACGCGGTGGTTGGACGTAAGCGGCCGATGGTGGGGCCGGAATCGATATCATCCACCTGGAGTTTTCCGATGCCTTCGACTACCTGAATCACCGCATCCTACTCCACAGGCTACATGGCTATGAAATCTGGAATCCTGTTCTTTGGTGGATCTACAGCTTTATTCGCCAAGGGAAGATTCAATTGCGTGTTGGAAGCTCACTCTCCAACCCGGCTGAGGTGGAATACGGGATTTCACATGACTCGTTTCTGAGACCATGCTTATTCCTGGTGTTTATCAACGGCTTGGCAATAGTTATCGCCTCAAATTTTCTACTTTTCGCTAGTGACACCAAGATATCGCAAAATATCAATACCAGTGAAGACCACGATTTTCTCCAACTTGACTGAAATTGCGTACTCCAGTTCAACACAGCCAAGTGCGAGATGATGCACCTGGGTCATCAGCCGATGAGCGTGTACATGCTTTGGAGAACACGTCTTACAGAAGGCTTCCAACGGGCGCGATGTTGGGATACTAGTCCAGGACGATCTCAGTTACTCAATCCGAGAAGGCGTCGAGAACCGGTACTCAGGCCGTCGGTCTTCTTCGCCGAGCGTTTGTTCGGTTTGAGCCCTAAATCTTCCCACAAATGCTTAACACTTACGTGCGACTGCACGTGGAATACGGAATCCAGGCGTGGCACACGTGGCAGAAACAAGATCTTGCTATTCTCAAGACTTTTCAACACATGGCATCTAAGAACCTTAGGGGCCTATTCCATCTCCCTTACTAGCTAAGATTGAAGTCCCTAGGATTGTAAAGCAGTCGGTATCGGCGCTTGCGAGGGGGATCTCATAATAAGTTACCAGGTCCTGAAGAACCCAAACCACATTTGCCGTCCGCTGCTGGAACTGAAGCACAACACCAACTTAAGAGGTCATCGGTTAAAGCTGACAATACATTATAGTTGGCTGGCATGCTGACAAAATTTATTATCCCTTCGTGGGTGATAACCGTAGAACGCTCTCCCGACTTATGTTGCCACCGTGAAAATGGATCACAGCCTAGCTTTTGCTATGAAGCGTGTCCTGGTGCTGTCATGCAGTCACGTCCTTTTGGTGAGGTGACTTCGACCTGCATACAGTGGAAGTCCCTGACTATCTCAGCGAACAGTTTAATTTTGACTTGCAAGAAGCATTCGTCAAGTTATCACGATGCAACCTTGTTACCTTTCCCACGTGTTTCACAATAGTTGCCAATCCATATGTATTAGATCTGGTGGCCACCAACGGAGAACTGATGGCCGATACCGATTGACCGCAACGATCATGCGACGCTGCACTTCCACTGCATCTGCTACGTGGAATACATCTGCGAAAACAACAAAGAAACTCACGTCGTTACCAGTTAAGACATCCTGTCTGATCTTCTTTAAGAAACCAACTGCTTCTTCCTATCCGAGCACTCACCAGATGTCGCCTGGAAAGTGTTTATCACCCAGTTCACTGGGCTGGTGGCAAATGCGTCGGAAAGGAAAGTCTTTCACACAAAATAAACAGCCCTTCCCAATGAGTCGGACTCTAAAGGTCGTGACCTTAGTTGATTCAGCCTGGCATTCTAGTGCGCAGGCCTTGGTACCTAAATAACGAAAGCGCTATATCAGATTGGTCCGCGAAGACAAACTTTACCATCACCAAGTCCGCAATAAAATTTTGTATTAATCCTAAACGGCTGTGCACACACTTGGAAAAGCTCCGGAGAGTCCAGCGCATAATCTTAGATCTACATGCAGCAGATGGTCCGACGCTAACTACACTAAAGTCCGCAAACACACTTATGTAATATTTCATATGCATTTTCCAAGGTGAATCGTCATCTCAACCGCTTTTAGCACTGATCCCATCCCTCCAAGGGTAAAGTGACGTGTCCTTCACTGCGACGAATGTGTGTACGCAGCTCTCATGGCATGAACTACATAAGACCGAAAGCACTAAGGATAGCCACTATGAATATCGCCGAACCATTAGCTCGGTTCTTTTAACGATGTCTTGATGAAATGTTTGTTCCCACAACGTGGAGATATGGAATACTCACTTTCATTTTAAGAGTTACTATCGTGTAGAGTCTTTGAAAACCCCTCCATTAACTCTTTTTCCGGGGTTATCCAAGGTTATGGAAAATTATCGTCGAGGGATATCTTTAGAGCGACAAAATCATAGTGTCACAGCAGCATAGATTCCAACGAACTCGGCCCTGCACTACAAACGTGCTGCTAGCTCGAGTAAGCTGGAAGGAATTAGTGACTGCCAGAGTAGGTGTTGACATCGGCTACCCTTTACTTTCCAAAAGGGTTTCATCACCTGGACCATCGCATTCTCCTTTACAGACTTCCAAGTTATGGAATGGGTAACCCTGTGTCTGACTGCATAAGCAGTCTACCCATTAAACGTTTGTTGAATGTGATAGTCCGCAGCTCCATTTTTGACCTAATTGAATTCTATTGTGGTGTACCTTAAGGATCGTCACTGGGAAGGCGGTTGTTCCCAGTATTTATTAATAATCTTATTACCGTACTCCAGTCGAACTTCCTACTAATTTCAGACGGTGTCAAGGTCTGGCATGATGTCAAGACAGTGGACGATCACACAGCACCGTAGAGATCTTGGCAGGGCCTAATAAGGTCATCCGAAACCCGGATCCAATTCAACGTGGCGAAATGCAAAGTTGTGAACATATGACATCAGCTTACCCATCAGTTGCTTCGTGCTTCCCAGGCAAGTGAGTTAGAAGTAAGTGTGCAGGATAACCTTGGCTGCTCGGAACAGACTTCGAGAAGAGCCACTCAGCACCTTGGACTCTCATGGACGGTTTCCAGAAAGCTCGAGCCATCAGTATTTCCGCATGTGATTAACTCCTACATGAGGCACCATGTGTAGTACGCGACCATAACCTTGTCTCCCTGGCGCAAACACCATGTTGCTGCGTTTGAAGCTCCCCAACGTAAAATGATCAAATTCGTTAGATGATTGCTTCACATTCCCTATTAACCCAGATTTCAACCCCTCGGCTTCTACCGTAGTGAATATCGGTGTCAGCGAGACTTTATCACAATTTACCTAAAACCGGCGAACCCAATTCATGCGACTTGTTGCAGCTCCTTCGAAATACTGATTTGTGAGGCCACCAACTAAGACTGGTCACGTATAAGTCAACATAGTTGCCGATAGAATTTCCTCCCTTCAGGTGTGCCGAACATGAAACGTCCCTATAACTCATATCATTTTCGCACCTAAATCAACGCTTAAAAACGCATTGGCAGTACACTATCCCCTTTACATTACGTACTATAATTCTTCTTAACTGGAAGACGAAATAAGGCGAATCAAGCAGTGTGTTCAACAGCCCTCCTTGTAGCGTTCCGGTGAGAATACCACTATCAGTGTTCTAGGAATAGCTTAGTGAGTCACGTAGTGCCCGAATCTCCCCCTACTCCCCTCATTTTTACCATTGGTTTTTACTCTTTATTCAGGCCATTTTACTGGACTTGTCAAGCACTCACTTTGTTACCTGTTATAAACCATTATTCTTAGTTTATTAGTCGCAATGCAGGACTGCGGTTAACGTTTTATTTAGAGACTATCATGTGAAGTAGTTGCTCGCTTACTGGTTTACCATCCTGAATTCCGCCTTCTTCCCAATTTAGGTTTGGAGATAGCCGATAATGAATTTTGAGACTAGCCAGTAAATTGGTTAGCTTTGTTGAGATGACATTCTTTAGACTGTTTCTGGTTGGACTACATAGCAATGAAGCTGGCTCACTAGATGACTGTAACAGGATTGAATACTTGGATTGCCAACGTGCATCCACTGAGGTGTGCTCGCTACCCATGCCCGAATTTTATCTTACCAAGCTCAATGCTCTTACCAGTGAGGAAGTACGGCTCATTCACCTAATAGCGGAAGATCATTTAGCAGGAGATCATAGCTCATTGTCAATTGGCTTAGCTCCTCAAATCAGCTGACTAAAACGAAAAGTACGGGGAACACACGCTTCTCAGTCGCCGAAAACACCTTACCTGTCATCTTTTCTATTCTTCTGCACCTCCTGACTTTAACAGATGCTTTCCGGTGATTTACAATGCAAGCGGATATTTAGAGAAAAGACAAGCAAAATACGGCGAATGGTACGATTACGACAAGACAGCAAGAGCCCAAATGTTTCGCCGTGATCACCACACAGTGCGAGATATCATTTCAATGCATAAACTCATGAGGTTAGCAAGCTAACTTTTTTGACCATCCCTTCCAATCATTGTGTCTGTTTACTTTGTGAAGGGAATCCATTTTTATGGTTATTCTCATAGAGCTCACGTGGTGGCCCACTCGCCATGTCATTCGTGCAAAAAAATGCTTGTGCTGTTCCTTCTGAGCCATCATTTAGGTGTGGCGCGCCATCCCCTTTAGCGTTGACACGATGGTTACAATAGTCAAATGGTTAATTTGTTACGAAGCAATAACTACCCGTTTTATATTCACCGAATAAGCATTGGGGTCAACTGTTGCACGAATGTCTGTATTTTTTTCAGCAATTTGTACGGTGTAGATCGTAAAACATCATTCTAAAGATTCGGCAATTTACTGCACCCACTAGATAATATTTTCCTGTTCAACCCAACAGTTGATTCATTCAACAAACATATTTCTACCGTTGGTGTTGTCTCTCTAACTTGTATCACTTAGGTATAACGACTTCAAACACGATCCGCTGTCTAAGTGTGACTGTAAACCACCGTATACGGGCGAAAATGGTATTTCGGCCCGTTCCGATTTGAACGATCCGAATGGAAGATACGGGCTCCATGCTTTTGAATATCGGCTACATGGGGGCACTGATGTCAAGATTGTGAACTATACAATGGTGAATACGGTAAGCGATATTAATATCATTCATATGTACAGTTCTGTGCCATCAGGGCACTACTTGATTTACAACAACGATGATAGTTTTTTCTGAATGCTGGTTCAGCAAGAACCATCCTAACCTAACTATGTCCATTGCGAAATATTGATGACCAGGGACTGCAGCCTAGCATCATCATCATCATACACGTTAGCTAGAGGTGGGGAACACCTCAGCTACTGTGCCGCAATACATAGAAAAAAGGAGAAAAAAACGCAACTGATGCAAGCTGACTGAGCTACCGATAACGGATGGACATCGTTCCGGTAAGCTACTAGCCGGCTGCTGTGCACCCAAAAAAATTACTATGTAAAATTATATAAGGCTAAATAATGAGATCGTGGTTAGTGGGGGAGGCTAAAAGGGATGGGGTGGGCCAAAGAAACTCAGCACGAACGCCACTGAGGTCGGCTCCTAGCCATATCAGCAAGTGTGTCCAACCAAACGTGTTCATCGTCTTTCGGACCCCAACCAGGGAGCCGAGACGCTCCAACGGAGGCCAGCTCAGAAGTGAGGGCCTTCATTCCTCTGGACCAAGTCATCGCTTGGCCACCCCTCCTCTTCTTCCATCCACACCCCCGGCGCGCAAACAACACACGTCGCGGGAATCGGTGGCCTGGCATGCGTAACACGTGACCGAGCCATCGGAGCCTGATGCGTGAAATAACGGTGCTGAGCGGTTCAGTCCCTTTTTCTGTGCCGTAAACAAGGCGCCGAACACGCTGGTTGCTCACGCGGTGTTCCCACCAGATGTGAGCTAAGTTACGAAGGCACCGGTGGTCGAACGTAACTAACCTCTTCAGGTCCGCTGCTTTAAGCGGCCAGGTTTCACAACCGTACAGCCTAGCGGCAAATAGTAGCACAAATATCACGTGAATAGTGGAGGGATCTGAAAAGTCTCAGTTAGTTTCTTTACGACTAGTGTCTGTAGTGCAGCCACGCATCAGGAGAAGCGTTGGATGTGCGTTTCACGCTTTCAATACACGTCAGCAACAGCTGGAATCCCTCGGGATCCGAACCCACGACCACTGTACTTGCGGTGAATACCCTATGTTACTGCACCGCGAGAGACATTGGCAAGCTGCCTGAATAGCTTACTAACTGTACTGTTGTGCTTCCTATTTTCCACAAACATCCATGTTTCCACCATGTAGACGACACATTTGGTCACTAGGAATACGACTTCATTCACCAAGCCACCGATTGTCTTATCTCATCAAATGTTGTGCTGGCGATTACTGAATGCGCCCTATGGACTAGTCCTTAGTGGGATAAACCGGTCGTTTAACTGTTCAGGAAGGTACTACCTGTACGATGAGTTATACTGCGATGAAACTGCTTGAAAACTCTGTGCTCTTGGAGGAAATGCAAGGAACAAATCTCTTTTGGCCCAACACTGAATGCCAACACATTGATTCAAATGGTGGGATTCATACCTCAAATACCTCTGACACTGCTTGAGCTGTCTCTTTTTAATGAAGTTCCATGGCAGTGACATTGGTACAACTGGTATGTAGACATAGGACAAACTGATCCATTTGCATGCATTTTCCTTCACTTTTGACTCCTAAGGTTTGTTTATTGCCCCTCGGCTTTAGTAAGCCATATTGGATGACCTCTGTCCAGCTCTGAACTCTTTTCCTAGTTCGCGCCTACTGTATGATGGATTCCCTCGATTATGATACGCACTACTCTCCGTAGCTGTGTAGTACGCTGGTCATGTTTGTGTCAATAATTTTGAATCTATCACTGTTGCCTCCCAGCCAACGTTGTCCAAAAGCCATACGATATGGTGAACTCGCCCTTGTTTCGGATGCGAACTCCTGGGTTGACTTAAGGTTTATTTTGTCGTATTGTTTACTTTTTGGTCAATTACCTTTTAGTCGACAGTGTGATAGGCGCTCCAGTTGTCCCACACTTGTGTGTCAATGTCTTGATCTTATTTATGAATGAGGCTTCTCAGTCTCGGGTGGGATCTGTCATATTGTGCCAAGAATTCGGCATATATCCTTATCTTATTGAGATCATTATCGGTTTCATCTGACTGCAAATGTTTTACTGCAGTAGATGTTGCGCAAATTAGTACACGTTATCAAAACCGAAGAATATGATAAAACTTTATCCCGAGCCTCTTGTGGTTAAACCTGATGGCTGGTTGGACCGGTATATCGGATACAGATATTTTCCTGGTTATAATCAGAATCTGATTTTATTGATGGCAGAGCTACTTTGCTTCGGCTGCACACTTTCTAGTTTGGTTGAGTATGATTGCTACTCCGAGCTTGATTAAATGGTTGCATACGTTTCGCCATCACACGGGTGACATCGTCATTGTAATTATGTGCGTTGGGCAATCTTGTCACGATGCCAACCCCTGTGGTGACGAGACGTATGCGACCATTTAATCAACCTCAGCATATCAATCAACAGATGAACAATCAACCTAGGCTACCAGTATTTCGAATCATTTCACTTATTAGGTTATTTACTGTCTTGTGTAGACTACTATCCGTTTGGGTACGGCCAGATCCCTATGTTCCTCCAAACCCAAGGGCATAGGACCAGCCTTCCGAAAAATCAAGCACAGTTTACCCAGACAGCAATGCATGCAGCCTCTGCTTTGTATGTGTCTATTTCTGAGTCTGAGAAAGTAAGTGAAAACGGGGACAAATAGTCTACGCAATAAAGATTTCCCTCGGTAGATAACAAGTCGATTTCAATCGGATTCCCAGGCTCAGCGAGTTGACTACTACGTGAATAGCCAAACCAAGTCACCAGCGGCAAGGATTATTCATGCCCTCTGTTTAACGGCCCATATTAGTTCTAACTGTGCAATCTGTGCCTGCATAATAAAACTATAGGTGCACCGTTCACACGTGCATTACATACACTTTTGTCAATATTTCTGTCTTGCTTGAAAGCTTCGTAGTGCATCCGCTTTCCGATCTCAGTGAACACCCTAGCCTTTTGCTCAAAGTTACCAACTCGCTAATTAAATCATGATTCATAGAACAATTTGCCAACATTTGCTGCCCAAGCAGGTGGAAATTGGGTATTGCCTGCCCAAAAACACTGCACAACCACGTCACGTTTCGAACTGATTTGATCTAATTCAGTGGAGATAGCAGGCCTCGAGCCCGCGACCATTGGAATAATAGTCGAAACCTCTACCCGGTTACCAGGGAATGACAGGTAATGCTTGACATAACTGTTAATGACTGATTGGAGGACCATTTTGGAATACACCTTGTGTAATTGGATTGGGACGCGCAGTCTCAATGTAAACCGCGATTCACATTGAAGTGAATTTTAGTCACTGCGACCATTGGGATCGTAGCCGAAGCAGCTGGAAATTGGCTGTTGCCCGCCTGAAAACACTGCACAACCACGACCCGTTTCGACCTGATTTGATATAATCTAGTGCAGATAGCAGGCCTGGAACCCTGGACCATTGGAATAGTAGCCGAAACCTCTACCCCTTTGGCTACCGGGTCACGACGGGCAACGCTTGACACTTCAATGTGAATCGCGGTCTACATCGAGATTGCGCGTCGCAGTCCAATCACACAATGTGTATACCAATTTGCTGCCCATTTTTGTGTTGGTTACCAATAACCTACAATTTCCCGATGCTCCTCACCTGTTGCAGAACTCAGTTCTTTAAGGACAAACTTTTATTCGGCAAAGATAACTCGGCGAAAATTACAGTGCGTTTAGCAAGCCAAACTCCTCGATATAAGTTCTGCGTTCATGTCCATAACTAACGACCTTTATGATGCAATGAGGTCCTTCCTCTGACTCAGTTAAACAAACCATGAGTAACTCACATGAATGTCGGCTAATCCAAGTCCAGCAATCAGGTCATTGCACCCGACTCCCATTGGCTAGCTGTCTCGCTCGGTTGGATCACCCGTTCACTCTGGTATGACACTCCCATCACACCCTCCCTTTTTCGTGTCATCGCGCCTCCATGTTGTTATACACCTCGTACACTTCGCCACTCCTCGTCATCGTTTTATCTTCGGCCATGCTCTCCTTGCCACATGCCATGGGTCGCTCCACTCCCAGTCCATCTTGTTGTCTCCGGTCTCGTCTTACTTGCATTCGATTTCCTCTGGGCGTTTTCCCTCCAACATTTATTTCCTATGACCTTGCACTGACGTTCACAGTCACCACACCTTTCTTCCACCGCTCTTGACCATCGGATTCCAGTCGAACCCACACTTTCTCCTCCACTGTTAGGTCAGGCGGCATCCGTGCACCGCGGTCGTAGTACCGTTTCTGGATGGTCATTCGTCTTCTCAGCTTGTTCTGTAACTTTTGCTGTGGCGAAACAGCACGCAAAAGTGTGGCAGATGCCGTCATCAGTGTTCTAGTCCTTGGTATAAGCGCTGCACTGGGCTCAAGTCGATGTCCGTTAAAGAATGTTGCGATTCTCAGGTAGCTTGAGGCACGGGTCCTCGCCAGTGGCTCTAGCCTTTAATAACGGTCGTTTGGCCAGCTTCACTGTTGACTGCCTTTCCATTCGATTGGCTGTGATATAGACTGGTTTGCTGGTGCACGAACTCCCAATTGGTTGCAAACACCTGGAATGCAGCGCTAGTAAACTGAGCACCAACTCTTCTGGTATTCCGTGCCGCGCGAATTGACATCTGAGCTTGTTGATTACTGCGTCTGTGGTCGTAGTGGTGACTAAATCCCTTTCAAAATAATCACTATAGTAATCCACCGTGAGTAGATAATCTCTCGCGTTGTCACAATTAGACCACCGCGACCTTCTGCCACGGTCGATCAGCGACATCATGTAGCATCATTGGTTCCCTCGTCTACCGGATTTCGTGTGAACGGCACGCCTCACAATTCTACACATTATCTCTTATTTGACCCGTCATTCCTGGCCGAAAGATCAATCCTCTTGCTCGGTTTATTGTATAGTTAGTACGCAGGTTAGCGCGATGAACTTATTTCTGCATTTCTCCTCGGAGCGATGACGGGATCAGAATACGGCTTCCTTTGAACAGCAAACCATCATAGACAAAGAGTTCATCCCGAAAATTGAAGTAGGCTGTTAGTTCCTTCGACAATACAGACGCCACCGAGTTCGGTTCTTCGCCATATAAGCAAGCGTGTCCAACCAAAGGTATTAATCGTTCTTTGGACCCCAGCCAGACAGTCGGGAAACACTAACCGACGCCAGGTTCGGAGTGAGGGACTTCATTCCTCTTGACCAAGTCATCACTTTTCCTCCCCTCCTTTCATCCAGACCCCTGGCGTGCAAACAGCGCACGATGAGTGAGTCGGTGTGCTGGCATGCGCAACATGAGGCCTAACCATCGGCGCCTGGTGCGTGATCTAATAGTGCTGAACGGTTCACTTGCTCTTCCTGCAGTAAATACACGGCGCCGAACACGCTCATTGCTCACGCGGTGTTCCCACCAGACATAAGCTATGTTGCGAAGGCAGCGGCGGTTGAACGTAACAAACCTCCATTAGCCCATTGCATGAAATGTCTAATTTAACGTGACACAACACTTATAAGTGCATTCGATCGATTTCAGTCAACCTTGTAAAGACACCGCAAAACAATTGTTTCGACATTACGAATAATCGAGACCAAGATGGTGACTAATTGGCGAGCACAAAGCGACAGTGTAATCTCCTAACTTAAACAGAGCTATCCTAAGTATTTATGGTCGAGCAATTCAGTAACATAAATATAACTGATTAACATCGTAATTTCCCCGAAATGATTCCAATGCACGACGAAATCCAGCGTGAAATAATCTTGATACCAGCTAGGTCCATGCTCTAGGAAACTTTCATTGTTGCCTCTGATGGCTTACTGTTTGCTCACATCTGCAGGTAGTACCGTAGTGATTATTTGAGCTCTGTTGTCTTATTCTTTGCACAAGGAATAATACAACAAAGCCCAAATAATCAACACAGTATTACCTGCAGGTGTGGTCAAACGGCAATCCATATAAATAAGGAAGCTTCTGTCATGCATGTTGAAGGAGTGTGGGCCGCCTCCGTTGATGAAATGTGGCTCCCACGCACATGCTTCCCAGTCTTATTCCTTCGGGTTTATACTGGATATGGGGTATATGAATGATGCTGTGGGTGGTGCAACGCAAGTCAGGCATGGTAGGCGCAGACGTCCTGTGGCTGTCCCCGGGTAGGCCGCAGTGACAGGCAAATCCGAAACCGGATGCCACCAACCGTGTCTTCTTAGTATTGGCAACTTTTGGGCTTGGGATATAGATATTCAATCACCAACTAATCGCCTGGAAACAGTCAAATTACAACTGGGTCAACTTTTGATTCTTTTCCATTTCTGTTGCACTTTGTCGGTCTTTTTATCTTTGGGTAACATCTGTTTACTTTGGTTTTATTAGAGGATAAAAGCAGATACTGTAAAAACTCCAATCAACTGGTGCATTACCTGGGACTGTAAGTGGTCGCCGGTTTCCATGCTCATCACACTGTGCCATGCAGAATAAAAAGACAAGAATGACTATGCATGAAACGATTGACTTAATCTAACATGGCTTGAATGAGCTCACATCACTGATGTGTTTACTTTGAACAGTTATTCGGTCCATTTGGATAGTTACGATTACGTACTATCCTTCTTTTACTTCACATTTTTCCATCCCTATTTTTGTTGCCGTTTTAGATAAATCTGTTGGCAACCAGTGGTCCAACGTATGACGATCAACCTCCATTCGAATGGTCAAAGGTGCCTCATCTAGAGACAAAGCCACACATGCATCCAGATTTATGGAGATTTGCACCCATTCTAACGAACTTTATGGATTATGAACTTGCGCTGGACTCTCGTTCCGAGTGGAACCGCCCGAAATTGATTCCGGTTTTTTAAACATTTTGATTCTACAATCTTCATTTGCCCTCGGGCACCTTTACTAAACTGGCCTCTTCGCCTCCAGGTTTCGATTTCTCTATAATGCATTCGGTGCAGTCGAATTCATCCTCTCTTGATACAGTTACAGTCCACCTTCTCTTCATCTGTAGGGAAGTATTTTCCTGTTGTTTCGGACTCTGTCAGAGTAGAGAGTACGCAAATCCCCAGTAAGGAAAAACTAGCTGCAAAAACAGTTTATTCTAGACAGAAACATGAACTGGACATGAGTTAAATTACAATGTACCGTCTGCACTGATTATCGTCCGGTCGGATAATTTCAAATCGACACTAGTCTGTTGATTGCTATCTTTGTGGTATTTTGTAATCTGACCGTTGGGCACCAGTTGGGTTTGACTTCGGGCTCAGCTCGTTCTGATCTCATGGGCAGATGGTTGGATGACCACTATCCGCGAGCTCCGTTGGTCTTCGCTCGAGAAAACTTACTCGCCTAGCACTTCCCATACATCAGAATCCTCAGACACTTCATTCGGTAGTAAACGACCTCGATTGATGTACTAGAAAACAGTCTTATATACCCCTGGTTATAACATTGTTGCTAGAGTATCTGGTAACGATTGTCCCTAAATGAAGGTTATTTATTTGATCATGCCTCTTCTGTGGATAAATGATGTGGTTAAGACGCATGCCAAAGTGCTGTTTTCACGTTTGCTTCGATGCCGAAGGTTAAGTGACATCGCTTCCTTAATGAGCTGGCACAAGTTTACTATTTATTTCATCCAAAAGTCTATCTGTTAGTTTCGTGTATGTCATCAGTGCACAACTTCGTATATGTTGTTTGCACCTAGGACGATCTTACTGATTGCTGTATTTAAAGGTAAAATATTAGTTTGCTCATCAATGTAACTAATTAAATAGGTTATAAGGAAAGCCACCAATGTCTGTGCAAGTTTTGGCTTAATAATGGAATGTAGTACGATAAGTATGGTAAGCTATGACAATAGTAACGGAATTTTATATTTGGCAGTTATTTATTGACTACTCTTCAGGAAATTTAGGCAAAAGCTGAGTATATTGTTTGAATCTCAAGTAGTTCGAGAAGATTATTGATATCGGGATTATGTGTGGGGTAAAATACCTTTTGATAATCTCCCCTTTTGGGACATTTTACTCCGGCACCTGGGCAAATTGTAGGGTGTCCGGTTAAGTCATACGACGCGCATGAACCAATGGAGTAACTCGTGGCACAAAAGTAACGGAATGTTTCAAAGCTTCATTTTACAAGTTTTTCCAGTTTATTTACCAAAGAAATAAAGAATAATTTGCGGTTTTTTGGCATTTATGGACAGAAGGCTATTCACAGCTTAGATGAGTGTAAGCATATGGTGTCTGATCTATAAAAAAATCTCATTTATCCCATAAATTAATCAGGGTCACTTTTGTGACTGAATAATACGATGCTTTTGTCACAAACATCCGTACACTGCTGCTTTGCCAGGTGACCACAGATTGTGCAATATATCCATATATTACCAGGAAGACTATTACCAAAGTTTAAGCTTAGACAACATGGAACATTTCCTTTTTTGTTTGTTCATGTTCAAACTGAGGCTTTCATCTCTTGTTGGGCGGCGTTTGCTATACTGTTCGATAGCAGTGACACGTAAGAGGCGTGCCAAATACTTGCCGGTAGAAAAGATAGAGTCGGTTAGGCCTAACGTATGTGTTACAGGCTAAAAGGAATAGAAAGCAAAACAACATGAGCAAGGAACGTGCAACGCCTTACTGACGAGAGCAATATGTCGAAACATATGTGCTGTCTTTGAAGCAAACAGTCGTTTAGAAGGTTCAAACAACAACAAAATCTAATGTAAATACTGAAAGAGCATGTTTTCACGTGCACTACAAGGGTTTCCGCCTAGGAAGCTGTGAGATGGAAGTCTTCAATAGAGCTGTCAGGAACGAGACAATAAGCGACGATGGGCGCGAAGTAACTGATGGGCCTAAACACGGGGATCCAAATTAGATTGTGTAACGGAGCGCGTTTGATCCAGGATGCATTGCAAATTATTACTTGCGTATCGACTGCAGTGCAACATTGATAGACCGTCTGGGCGGGTTTGTCGGACTGCGAATTAGCTGGATAATCCAGCAGTATGCCAACGATACATTTCCTGTGCTACAGACCCAACGGTGCGGTTTAGACATGTCGCCCACCATCGCTGTTCACAGTACAAACGGTCCTCGACCCAGGAAGAAACCCAGGCGTCTTCCTCGGCACCACGTAGCTTGGCGTTTGGGGACCAATTGGTTGTAACCTTACGCGGTCAAAAGCGACTGCTTCTTACTTGGGTCACAAAGGGAAACTGAGCCGCTTGTCGAGTCACTGGCGGGTTGCCTTGACTGATCCAATGATTGAGATACTGGAATGCAGAACTCAGATGATGTGGGCAAGGGTCGGAGGATTGGCTTGAGCCGGAGAGGGAGTGCTACATGTCTGGTGCCAGTGCACTAACGGACCCGAACAACACGGCCGCTCTGCAGGGATCTAAACTACTCAGTTCAGAGCGGAGCACTTCCTACAGAAACTGCTGCCAAGGGTCCACTCGTCTGCACAGATCACCGCGAATTTGTTCTCAGTGAGATCCCACCCAACGTATCCTGCACAGTTTCCAATGAACTTGCGCCAGTTTCACAATCCTGTGTTTTAAGGAGCCTTTTCAATTCAACAATCTTCCTGAGCCGTGTTCATGCCAATGCCGAGCAAACTCAGCATTTGTGATGCCCCCAACGTCTCAACAACATCGAACGCACCCCATCTCTGCCCGGAGATAGGACCACTAAATGGCAACTTATGAGCCAACAAACATACGCCTTCCCTTATAGTTTATGCAATTACTACTGTCTTAGTGAACTATAAATATGAAGGTGTAGAAAGCGCGGTTTTCTTGGTTATGAACGCACTTTCTGCGGGTCTCGGTACAGTCGTGCGGCGCTTACACGTTCCGTCTGCCTTATCAGTTACGAATTCACATCTGTCGGCTGAGTTCACTAGCCGTTCCAATTCGTATCGTCTAAGCTACTCTGCGCGTGGAACTAGCGCGTCTAGGAGTTCGTCCGTTCCGACTAGGACAGTCAAACCTTAACCAGGACCTTTGTAACAGGGAGCATGGCATGCTGGACAAAAGCAAATGTGCTTTTAAGGTTTTTTTTAAAAAAATGATATGCGATTTGTCAATTTGCAAAACGATTTTGGGTGAAATGCACAATAATCACCAAAGACGAAAAACATGCTTCTTACATCAATGTTTCCACAGTGTTCACTATTCTATGTATCAATCATTTCTGCAAGTGCCCCAAGCCCTGATGATTTCAAGCACACGGCTGACATTGCATCTGTACAAAACGCTTATTTCTAACTACGGATTCTGTACAACAATTTTACATTTTCACTAACTGTACATACATTGTGGCTAACACTTCATCAGTGCTTTAACCTTTGGATCATGCGTATCGAGATGTGCCTCTAGCCTGTCGAGAATAAATTTATTTGTGCTTGTTAGTGTAAATGAAAACAGCAACAACTTTAATGAACCGGACCGGACGTTTGACCCCTTTATCGCGTCCATCGATTGCTTTGGGTTGTGGCGGTGTAGGTGGAGGGCTCAAGCGAACAGTGAGATTCGGGGTATTCAGTGCTTGGGAACTCACCTCAGATTCGGGTGCTTGTGTGTTAGTATCAGGATTGGTTGCAAGTCGTTCGTCAAAAAAGGCCACTTCGAAGCGCTCAATGGACACCGTTGTTCGATGAACATTCTGGTCTTAAAAGAAGTGCTTCGCAGTTCGTTGTCGAACTTTCAAAAGCTTGAAAAATGGTGCCCTGCGTCAGCGAGGGGGGATGCGTGTGCGCATGTGGAGAGACTGTTGTGCATTTGCACATCTCTGGTCTGCTCATGAGGAGAGGTTGGGCGCAGTGAGCGCCTGCGTTGAGGAATGGAAGGCTTGGCGGTGATGTACACGATGGCGTAATCAATTCCCTTGGCAGCTTCACTGTCTTGCCGATGATCAGGCCAGCTTTGATGCTGCTGCGGATATCTGGGAGTACAAATGACACGTTTTCGGTCTAGCTAGGGTCTGTAGAGCCGCAGTGCGAGCTTTAAGTTGTCTTTAGTAGCGTTCAGCTAGTCTATTGGCTGCTGGATAATACCCTGTCGTGTTAATACAGCGACGACTTAAGACCTTGCAGAACGCATCCTTTTCTAAAGACCCGAAAGGCGTTCTATGGTCTGTTCTGATGCTGGATGGGCATCCGGAACGCGATACCCAACAATTCAAAAAAGCCCGGGTAATGGTCTCGATTGTTCAGTCTGTTACGGGAATGGTTTTGCCCACCTGCTCTAGTGCTTGACATTTACAATAAAGTTGAGGAATTCGTCTGAAGTGAGCGAAGGTCTTACCAGTTGTAAGGACATACGCGAGAGCCGAGCGTCTCGAGTCGGAAATGAGCCTGGACGGCTACGGGTGTGCCAAGGTATTTGAAAGCCCTGGCATTGAAGGCAGGTCCAAACCCAGATACGAAAATTTCCGATTACTAGTGGCGAAACGAAACGTTCGGTGACCAGTTTCAAAGATGCACAGCAACCGGTGTGTGATAGTGTATGGAGTGCGTCAAATACGGTGCGCCTGAAAGAGACAGGCACCTGGAGTCTGGCATAACCGATAGAGGTGTAACGCAGGATGGTTCCGTCCGTTGCTTTTAGAGGAACGGGTCGCACATACTGTGAGTGGAACTGCAAGTTGCGTTGTCTGTCTTCTTCTTGAGCCTCAGCCGATACCATGGCAACAAGGTCGAAGGTAGGCAAATACTGAAGGGTGTGGTTGACGCGTGTGAGACCGTCGGCGACAGGGTTCTGGACTCCTGAGACATGACGTATGTCAGTAGTGAACTGCTTGACAAAGTCTAGCTGTCTGGTTTCACGTGGCGATTGTTTTTAGATGGTAAAGCGAGGGTGGGGGCTTGTGGTCAGCGTGGACCTCACAAGCGCGACCAATGGAGGAATACCGAAAGTCACGAATCGCTAAGTATATGGCAATCAGTTCTCTGCCAACCGTGCAGTAGCGGGAT